GGGGGGGCAGAGGGGGGTTATAACTTTGACATTGGCTGTATGAAAAGTAACAACGTGAGTGGCGAGCTATTACATCACTGATGTTCCAGCCTTCACCTCCTGACTGAACATCAGCTGCTCCATGAACCACCGTCACCGTCACCGTCCACAGCTGGTTCCAACTCAAAGTCTTCAGTGAAGGTTCTCTGCCCCCCCCCCATCTGTTCACCATCTATATCCTCCATCTTTCTATACAGGCGCTGTAGAAACAGTGTTCAGCCGGCGTGTGTGTGTGTGTGTGTGTGTGTGTGTGTGCATTGAGTCAGCTGTTTTGTATGCTGGCCGTAGCAGCTCCTCTCACTGGAAATCAAGGAGAGATCGTGGTATGTATGCAGAGAAAGGACGAAGGGGGGGAGGAAGGGGGGAGAGGAGGGAGGCATAGAGGGCGAGAGGTGATGAGAGACGGAGAGAGGGACTGGGATGGAAACGACAGGAAAAAAAGGAATAAAAAGACACAAGGAAGAGAGAGCGCGCGTGTGTGTGTTGTCTGTTCTGTCCTGGTCGCTCCACTCTGTCCCACTGACCACTTCATGGGAAGTTTGGTTTTTCCAAGCTTCAGTGAACGTCACATGGACATCTCCTCTGGTCAGGGTACTCTCTGGTCAGAGTACTCTCTGGTCAGAGTACTCTCTGGTCAGGGTACTCTCTGGTCAGAGTACTCTCTGGTCAGAGTACTCTCTGGTCGTCCGTCCCAGTCTTCCTTCGTCTCTCATTGGTCCAGATCTGTGCTGTCACAGGGATCTTTGTTCACTTTTTAGAACAGCAGGAAATTCTAGGAGGTTGCAAACATAAGGTCCACGGGTGGGGACTGGGCCATGGAGGCCATTAGGTTGTATTGTGTGTCAACAATTACAGACACTCACGTGTGGATACATAAATTTAAAATTTTTTTTTTCCATTTTGATACTACATAGTATGATGAGGAGATTCTCTACCACCTTCCCGTCCATGTGGCTACGTTTGGAGGCAGCGTTCCACTTTGATCTGAATTAATGAATAAAGATAAAGGCAAAAAAACTGCTCTCGTCGAACACGAGCAGCGAAAGCTCCGCGTTCATCGTGACAAAGATCTGAAGACGAAACAAACCCTGAAAAAACTCTGTCTCCGAGGGCTCGAACCAAAGACCCACAACACAGGAGGTGGGTCGTCAACATCCCACACAGACTGCCAGAGCATGGGGA